ATTTTGGGTGCCCCACTCAGATACCCACTGCAAATTGGAGCCGGGAGGAGAAGAAAGAGTGATTCAAGGCTGATTTTAAGTCATAGGTGAAGGTTGTGAAGAAAAGGCACAGGAAAAATTGAGGTAGAATCATCGGCAAATGTGTGGAGAAGAGAGGAGGAATGAGGAACAGAAGATCGTTGATGATCACTTACATCATCGTTGATGATGTAAGTGATAGAATGGAGCCCTATGGAACACCACTTGTAACAGAGAATGAGCTAGATGCTGCACTGTCAAACCAAAGATATAATATGGTCAGAAAGAAAACTGGAAATCAGAGAACAGAGAGAAAAGGTAAAGCCATTAGCAGGTACTTTGGCCAACGAAGACTTGTGCCAGACTCTGTCAAAAGCCTTAGGGATATCAAGAGTGACGACAAAGGATTCCCTATAGTTTCTCAGAGAAGTTGACCATTCATGAGTAAGATAGGACAGGAGTTCACCAGTGGATCTTGCCTCCCAAAAGATGTACTAGTGAACGAAGACTAGCTGATTAGATTCAAGATGTATCAAAAAATTAAAATTGAGCAACGTTTTGAATACTTATGGATAACGGAGGTTAGGGCAATAGGTCGGTAGATTTGAGGATTAAAGCAGTTACTCCATAAGAACAAGTCCAATTACACAAATGATTCCAAGGTGAAGGATAGACACTGGTCACGAGAATGAGGCGATAAAGATGGCAAAGCATATAAGCTACTTCATTTTCAAATTCTTTTAGGAAGCTTGAAGGTATACCATCGGATCCTGATGCCTTGTTCGTTTTAGAGAGAAATGAGCCTTATGAACTTTGCATGAAGAAAGAATAAAAGAAGGCATAGGTTTAGATAGGGGTATAGTTTGAGGGACAGGTAAGCTGGAATTGCTATAGAAGAGTTGGCAAAAAATTAGAACCAGTGGGTGTGACTTTTTCAGTGGGAGAGCAAGCTCTAGAACCATTAGAATGAATGAAATAGAGAAAGCTTAAGTTACAGAAGTTTTTAGAGAAATATTTGGCTAAGGATCAGAAACTTTTAAAGGTTGGACAGGGAACTGAGAATGTACAGTGATCCCAAGCTGTAACAAAAGCAGTGATTTTAACCAAAAAGAGAGGCTTGGTATGACTGGTATGTCCAATTCCTAGCCTGAATAGCCATGGAGTAGACGCGGTCGAAGCAAGGATTAGGAGAAGAAAATCTTTCATAGAGGTGGGAAATAAACCTCCATTCTAGAGGTTATAATCTCTGCAAATTTAGGGATACCTGATCAGGCTTGTAAGTCCAAAGGCATTAGTCAACCATGGGAAGGCAGATAGAAAAATACGCAATACATTGCTTTGGGTATGCCCAAATTTCAAAAAGGCTGACCTGCATTGGAGGAATTGATGGATGGGGAGTGAAAATGGAAGAGATTAAGATCACAAAATGGTCAGATTTACCAAGAGGGGAAAGCATAGAATATGAGTAGTTTGAAGGATTAGAACTAAAAAATAGGTCACGAGTATTATGATTTATAGAGAAAGAAAGAACAATTAAAGAGCTCAGTGTGGTGTACATTGAACTCTTCATTATAGAAAACTTCAACACATGGGTGAGAAGACTGCAAGGCGTCATAGTAACAGGATATATAATCAAAGAAAGATACAAAGTCGGTAGAGTTAGGAGAAGATTAGCAGAAGCAAAGGAAAATAACGATAGTGGAGAGATAGATCTTAAACCAGAGAACATCATAGTCAGGAGATTCAGAGATTCATGAGCCTTGCAATAGGAGTGTTAGTGTTGCAGTAGGCAGAGACCTCACCTATGAAATGGATATGAGAATACAGAGATTCGAAATTGGTCAGGGATTCAGAGAGAAGGAAGAGGTAAGGGAATGCTGTACCAAATTGATGTTCCAAAGACGAAAGACTGTAGTCCAGACCACGAATGTTAAAAAAGTGAAGAATGACAGAAGCAAATCTATTACGAGGTGCAAGAATAAGGGCAGAACTATTACTACCACCAAGAGTGTATACCCTCATGCCAATAGTGGAGTGTAAATGATTCCTGGAGATTCTTAGCACCAATCTATGCCGGGTGCTGGGGGCCATAAGCTGTGGACCATCCATAATTAGAGTAAAGATGAAGAAAACGATAGCAAAAAGAAACAGAACTTGGAAGTGTTATGATTCGTCAATTGTCATGTGATAGCAAGAGATGTGTAACGACTAAACCAGAATATAGGTGTAGATAAAGGATAAGGAGAAAATGTTCATAAAGGAAGACTTAACCTGGAGCTGTCTAGGACAGTTGTAGTTAAGTTCAAATACCTTCATTCATAGTATTTCAACGGGTGGTTGATGCCAAGGCCATTTTGTTTGCATATACAGATATTTATTTTTTATATGAGTGTGAAAACGGGATAGGCAAGAAAGTTACGCATATCAGCCACAAAGATGAAAGAAATATTTAAATGAAGAAAAGTAGAATGTTAAGAACAAGGTAGAAAAAGGGTAATGATACACAATCGGTAAAGGATGGCCTGGAAGATTATGCAAAATGCTGAAATCCTAGA